CCGGGGCCCCTTTCTTTCTTAACAGCGTCCGGGGGGCCCCCCTGGGGGCCCCCAGGGGCCCCCCTGGGGGCCCCCCTGGGGGCCCCCTTGACGCAGGGGCCCCCTCTGAGGGGCCCCCCGTCTCTGGCCCGGGTACCCAGGGGGGCCGCCCAGGGGGCCCCCCTGGGGGCCCCCCGAGGGTTCAGTTCCTGGACCCCCTGGAGCTTTCAAGGCTCCCTTGGGGGCCCCCCAAACACACCCGGGGGGCCCCCAGGAGGGGCCCCCCAAGGGGGCCCCCAGGGGGGCCCCCAGGGGGGCCCCCAAGGGGGCCCCCAGGGGGGCCCCCAGGGGGGCCCCCAGGGGGGCCCCGAGGGGCCCACAAGCCCTTTTGGGTACCGGGATGTTCCTGTGGGGGAAAAGGAGAAAATGGTGAATGATTTATTTACTTCTGTGGCGGGTGAGAATTTAAAAAGTTTTAATTTTAATTTAATTTAATTTAATTTAATTTAATTTAATTTAATTTAATTTAATTTGTTTATATTTGATTTTATTGTATTTGATTTAATTAGATTTGATTACTTATAATTGAATTCTATTTAATTTATTTTAATTTATTTTTTAATTCTCTTTTCTCCTTTTGCTCGATTTGGTTTTCTTTTCCATTTATTTCATTTCAGTTATTTTATTTTTAATTTTAATTTAATTTAATTTAATTTAATTTAATTTAATTAAATTCTTTTGCCTTTTAAATCTTTTCCTTGTTCAATTCTTTTTCTTTTTATTTCTTTTTCTTTTTATTTCTTTTTCTTTTTATTTCTTTTTCTTTTTATTTCTTTTTCTTTTTTTTATTTTTAGACTCTTACGATTTAATGAACGATTTAATGAGCTTCGGAATCCACAGAATTTGGAAAAACGAATTTGTAAGTCTTGTCAACTTCCCTTCATTCAGGGCCCCCGAGGGGGCCCCCCTGGGGGCCCCCCAGGGGGCCCCCCTGGGGGCCCCCCTTGGGGGCCCCCCTGGGGGCCCCCCGGGGGGCCCCCCCGGGGGGCCCCCCTGCGAGCCGTTTAGGGTACTGGATTTGGCGGGGGGCACAGGAGATATAGCTCTGCGGCTTGTGGAGCGGGCGCTGCAGCAGCAGCAGCAGCAGCAGGAGCTGGCGCTGCAGCAGCAGCAGCAGGAGCTGGCGCTGCAGCAGCAGCAGCAGCAGCAGCAGCAGCAGCAGCAGCAGCAGCAGCAGGAGTGCAGCGGCGTGGAAGTGACAGTCTGCGACATAAATATGAAAATGATGGAAATCGGGCGGCAAAAAGCTGCAGCAAAGGGCATTCCCCTGGGCCCGATAATCGACGCGCTGCCCCCCAGCAGCAGCAGCAGCAGCAGCAGCAGCAGCAGCAGCAGCAGCAGCAGCAGCAGCAGCAGCAGGGGGGTCGCTCGAACGCGCGTGAGCGCCGCTGCGGGCCTGGGGGCCCCCCGGGGCCCCTGCCGCCTGCGGTGGGTACTGGGCAGCGGCGAAAGCCTCCCTTTTGCTGCAGCAACTTTCGATTTGCTGCTCATTAGTTTCGGACTTCGCAACTTCTCCAGACCTTCTCGGGGCCTCCAGGAGGCCTTCCGAGTCCTCAAGCCCGGAGGCCGTTTTCTCTGTCTCGAATTTTCTCCCCTCCAGCCCCAGGGGGCCCCCGGGGGCCCCCCGGGGGCCCCCCCGGGGGCCCCCCAGGGGGCCCCCCCGGGGGCCCCCCTGCGGGGGCGCAGTGTGGGGGGCCCTGTATGATGCTTATTCGTTTGTGCTGCTGCCGCTGCTGGGGTCTTTGGTAGCAGCAAATAGAAATGCCTACAGCTACTTGCCGGAGTCCATTCGGCGCTTCCCGCTGCAGCAGCAGCTAGCTGTGCTGCTGCAGCAGCAAGGGTTTGGCCGCGTGGCTTACTGCAGCCTCTCCAACGGCATTGTGGCCATTCACTCCGCCTTCAAACCCGCAGACACGCACCAGCCTCCAGACCCAGCTAGCTAGCTAGCTGCCGTGGCTAGCTAGCTAGCTAGCTAGCTAGCTGGGCTGGCTAGCTAGCTAGCTAGCTAGCTAGCTGGGCTGGCTAGCTAGCTAGGCCCTTCAAACCCGCAGACACGCACCAGCCTCCAGACCCAGCTAGCTAGCTAGCTGCCGTGGCTAGCTAGCTAGCTAGCTAGCTAGCTGGGCTGGCTAGCTAGCTAGCTAGCTAGCTAGCTGGGCTGGCTAGCTAGCTAGCTAGCTAGCTGCTGGCCACCTAGCTAGCTAGCTGGGGTGGCTGGCTAGCTGGCTAGCTGTGGTGGCTAGCTAGCTAGCTAGATGGGGTAGCTAGCTGCTGGGCTAGCTAGCTAGCTAGCTAGCTGGGCTAGCTAGCTGCTGGGCTAGCTAGCTAGCTACCCAGCTAGATAGCCATTTGGCTAGCTAGCTATTATGGCTACACGGCTAGCTGGCCAGCTGGCAGGCGGGCTGGCTGGCTGGCTAGCTAGCTAGCTAGCTAGCTAGCTAGCTAGCTAGCTAACTACTT